AAAGGCTTGATTGGCCCGGGCGACCAGGATTTGATCCCGGACCGCTCGCGTGGTAAGCGTGCCACTTGCTTTCCGTCCACTTCTATACTAGGGTTGCATATTTCTCAAAAAGGGGGTTATACATTGCTACTTGCGGCGGGATCTACGCTAACTGCTAAGCGGTCATTGAACGGAAGATTTCCTTCCGCCTTGCCGCTGTTCCCATTTTTAATTGTGGTCCACTGATGATAAACTAAAAGTCTGGCGGTTGTCCGTCTGCCATGTCACGAATTCAGCCGCGAGTGGAACCGCATTTTGTTCTGCCTATCCTATGCTAGTTTTTTTTTGTAATAAACGGATACGCGTTCATATTTTCAGTAATGACAGCCTAGAATCACACCCGTTAGTTGAGTGATGGTCAAGTTGATACTCAGCCCATTCCTTACATTTGCGAGCTTCGGTGCTTCTTCAATGCTGTATTCACTCATTATTGCTCCTGTCAATGTTCGATGGTAATCAATTACTGGTTTTCTTTCAAGGCATCCCAGTTTGCTACCGAAGTCCATCATATCAACGGGAAAGGTGAAGATGCTGGTGTAGTCTACAGTGAAATGCAAGATCATGAATCGGAAATGTCATGCATAATGGATAGGCGGGTACTCTTACTGTCAAGTATTTTGAGTACTTTTTCGAGTGTGATTTGTTTTGAGAAAGAAGAAGGAAGTTTTGTACCCTCCAAACAACTCATATCGTGTCGACACGGGTGGACGGTTACCGAGCCTTAGGACGACGTGTAATTTGCAAAAGGTGAGAGCACTAAACACATTATTTTGTGGTGGTTTAGCAGCAGTAGATGTGTTTTTAGGTCCGGGATTTTCACAAGAAATATTACCACCTATCAAATATGATGGTGACGGTATCAGGTAGAGTCAATCATGAACGACTGTTGAAGATTATTGAGACTGCAGAGGAGGTAGATCTATTGTTTGCGGCTTTTATCCTCATCCTGTACTGATTTCTCCCTTTCAGGAGCACTTAGCCGAAGTACCGGCGTCGTTTCAAAGACCATTCGTTTCACTCCATCTGAAGCCAATGGCCGAATCGAGCGAACATCGCGTCGTGTGCCCAAGCGATGACGAATCTCGCGGAAGTGTTGAGATCAGTTGGTAGGATCTGTGGTTCTTCATGGATTCCATGTTTTTGTGTGGTAGATTACCAGACATGAGTGTTACCAGTCCTACTCAAATTCTCGATGAGTCCTTACCTTTCAGTGGCTCTCCAAATTGTTTTCGGGACAGCACACTCTCTAATGTGCCCTTTTCTGGTCTTGCGTGGACGACTATTCCTCTTTCTGCACGCATTGCGCGCGCACACAGATCTGCGGCGAATTTTGATGGTGCGACGAAAATTTTCAAATTTGGCTTGATACACCACGAATATCTGAATTCTCAGCTAAATTCTATCCGCTCCATCATCGACGGCTTTCAACCTCTTTTTCTTCGTCAACCATTATCCTCTTTTTCCCGGTCTCCGGACTGCTTCCGGACAATAAATCTCGTGGCAAACTCCGCCTACTTCGGTGCGTGCCCCGCCCACCAATAGCATTTGGCCCCTTCCTTTTCGCCGACCTCTACCCCCTTTTTCACCGGTCTCTGGGACCTCTTGGAACCAAATTACGACACTTTTGGCAAACTCCGCCCACTTAGGTGCGTGCTCTACCCAGTGCAGTAAGTTCTACTTCCTTCGTGAACTCTTAACCCTTTTTCCCTCTATCTCTAGGACTTCTTGGAACCAAATTGCGACCCTTTTGGCAAACTCCGCCCACTTTGGTCAAGCCCCGCCCACCGATGACAGCTGGCCTCCACTCCTCCACCCACCTCCATCCACCTTTTTCCCGGCCTCCGGGACTTCTTGGAGCCGAGTTATGAATTTTCGTCGCAAACTCCGCCCACTTTGGTCAAGCCCCGCCCACCGATGACAGCTGGCCTCCACTCCTCCACCCACCTCCATCCACCTTTTCCCGCCTCCGGGACTTCTTGGAGCCGAGTTATGAAATTTTCGTCGCAAACTCCGCCCACTTTGGTCAAGCCCCGCCCACCGATGACAGCTGGCCTCCACTCCTCCATACACCTCTATCCACCTTTTTCCGGCTCTTTAGGACTTCCCCGACCCGAATTATGAGGACTTGTAGAAAATGCTGTACACTTCAGAGCGCGCTCCCGCCCATTGTGGGCAGGCCTCCGCCTACGTCATATATGCTGGGAACACCTTAGACATTGCTCCCCTACACCAATTTGTTTTCTGCTCTGTAGGCTTTCTCCCAACCGAGTTATGAAATTTTTCATAAAGCACTGCTTTTTTGGAGAACGCCCCGCCCACCGGGGGTGGGTCTCCCTAATTCGATGTGACTTACCAATGCACACCTTTACCCACTTTTTGGCCCAGTTTCAAGGTCGTTTTCTAAGAGAATTCGAAATCTCGGTCGTCAGTACACTTCATGTCGACGCACGCCACGCCCTCTGTGGGCGGGGCTCCGCTTAGCTGATGTGTGTTTTGTATTACGTGAGACCCTTGCCCACCCATCCCACACTTGACCCGGTCCCTCCAGGCGGATCCCGAGGAGCTAGGGAATTTCGTGACAGACATACAGACAGACGACAGACGACAGACGACAGACGAAGCGCTTTATAGTAAGTAGGATTTTCGTGGATCACTTTACATGGGCACACGCTGTGACATACACGTAGTGTCATTTTGTGGAAAATTGATATACTCTTGTTTAGGTTTGGTCACCGCCCAACCGACTTCCAAGAGAAGGTAGCTTTCGATGTTCTGTTTGACTATATGTCGAATACTCCTGTATCTCCGTTACAACGAGAATTCGTCCTCATTGAGAAACCATTGTAGTCAAGTCAGCTTCCACGTTACTGAACAGGTTTGAATGCAGTCATTACCAGTTTGTTTGTTCGATTTATAAAGCCTCAAAATTGAAAGATTGAAAGATTGTTGCAGACCACATGCCTAATTCAACTCTCATTTTCCGGTGTGCCGACAAAGCGCTTAGATGATGTCAGCAAAAAGTGAGTCCGTCTTTGCCCTCCTTAGGTACGCAGTTTATACGTATTGCCCACGCTTCTAACCCATTGAGGACAGAGAATTGTCGGCTTAATTTATTGATATATGGTCGTTAGTGAGTTGAAGAGGATATTACACGGTAAATACGAGGATCGAAGAAGGGGCACGGGTGCGGACCGGACACGCAATTCACATTGAAGGATATGCTCCTCCATGTAGTATGGCCGCTCGCGCCGCTATTGGCGCACTATCGGCGCGGTACTCCCCCTCCTCGCTGTCTGAGCCTCTGGCCGTTTGGCAGGGATGGAGTCAGCATTGTGTAGTAATGATAAATAAAAAACAATAGTAAAAGTGCATGGAATGCGTGCAGGACACGTACGTCCCGCGCTGTTCATCGTCGTCTGCAAAGTGCGAGGCGTGTGTGTCCCACGCGGTCGTCAAAGGCTGACACAGATAAAGCTCACCCATGTCGAGCTGAACAAAAGTGTTATAGGTTCATGGAAAAAGTTGTGAAGGAACATTTGGAAGACAAGACTTGGGACATGGAACGAATGGGTTTTCTCATTGGGCAATCAGTGAAGAATGAATTAAAAAAGGTAAGCTTTCTATCTGAAACATATTAGAATTGTAGGGATCTTAATTCCTTACTATTTTATTACATCAACTGGTTTCTTCAGATGGAAAAACATCCTGCAACCCAATTGTTTGGGCATATGATCGGACATCAGCTATACGATGAAAATGAGGATCAACTAAAAACGCGGATGGATGAGGTACGGAATTTCTATGAGTGAAGTGTAACAAAAGAGACCTTTAAGTTTCTTTTGAAACACCAATGGCTATCTGCTTGTTGGTAAAGTTTGATGTTATATTATACCAAATTGGCTGCGCACGCATTCGCGTGCATCACACGGGAAAGTGGTGTAAAATAAGGCTGTCGCCATTTTTACAATGCTTTCTGGCAAACTCCGCCCACTTCGGTGCACGCTCCACCCACCAATAGCAGTTGACCTCCCTTCTTTGTTGGACTCATCCACTTTTTTCCCGGTCTCCAGGACTTCTTGGAACCGAGTTATGAATTTCGTGGATAACTCCGCCCACTCCGGTACACGCTCCTCCCACCTATAGCACTTGACCTTTTTTGTTGTTAGATTCTGCTTTCCACTTTCTGTCCAGTCTCCAGGATTTCTTGGAAGCGAATTATAAACTCGGAGCGAAGTTCGCCCACATTAGTGCACGCCTTCCCCCTCCTCCGCCGTTAGCAAAACCCCCCATTCCGTTGTCAGACTCTATGTTTTCCCGGTCTCATAGACTCTTGAAACCGAGTTATGATGTTTTGTTGCAAAGTTCCGCCTATCCCCGGTGCACGCTGCATTCACCAACAGCAGCTAACCTACCCTCTCACCAATCTACTCACTTTTCCCCGGTATCCGTACTTCTCTGAATCGGATTATGATAGGATTGGCCCGCTCAATGTGGGCGGAAGCTCCACCCGGCTGATTTGTGTTTTGTACTTTTTAACCCGTGCCCCACCCATCCCACTTGGCCTGGACTCTGTAAGTGGCTCTTCAGGTAGTACCGAATTTCGTGGCAGACGGACGAACAGACAGAGAAACTTAGCGGATATTATTATTACTTATTTATAATTATTATTTATACTATTATTACTCATTTTCATTTTATAGCTAGAGCTAATTCGCCGTCTACGGTCAGAGCCAGCTTCGTTTTGGTCTGGCCTTGTAAAGAAATACTTCACTAGCCCTCATGTGGTTGTAGTCGGCGTTCCAAGTGAAAAGATGGTTGAACAGGTAGGTTAGACCAATAAATTTAAATTTATTCGAAATATCCCAATTTCTTTTATTGCTCATTAATCAGTTCATGCCTGGGTTAGATGTGCTCCACAAAGGCTGCGTCACATATCATGTTATGTCCGCAATACCTGATAATTGAGTACGCTTACGCGGCGCGGCTAACCTCGGCTAATTATCCTGCATAATCTCACTCGAAGCGCGGCCAAATTGGCCGCTCCGCGTCTGCGCGCTTAAGTTGTCATATAGTATGAAACAGCTTGGCCTCTGACGATGACTGTGCAGATATGGCCAAATTGCTTCCTCAGCGGTCTCATTGAAGCTTTTTTTTTCACAGCAACTGTAACAACTTCTATATTCAGGTGGCCAAGGAAGAAAAAACTCGCTTGGATAAGCAGCGTAAAGAACTCGGAAAGGATGGAATTAAGGAGTGTGGAGAGAAAATTCAAGCGGCCATAAAAGAAAACACCGCCAAAAAGCCGAGCGCTGAAGTATTGAACGAGTTGATTGTGAGAAAGTTGGAAGAATTCGATCGATTCCCCGTGGAT